CTCAAAAAAGTTGCTTACCCCTGCTCTAGTGCCTCTGACCAATCTACAAACTCCAGAATTCCATAGGATAGAATGATGGTATATCTCACTATTAAAGTGAAATCTGGTGCTATATTTGTGTAGTATGAGTGGGCCCCTGGAATCCAAATCCGTTAGCTAAACACCACTAAGCAAACACCCTCCACAAAGGGATTCAGAAGGTTTCAATTTAATTTTAGTTTTACTTATAGGTTGCCCTGAGATTCTTTGGCACAGGGTGGAGTAGAGACATTCTAATTAACAAATAAGGTAGGGATAACACCGAGCCCTAAGACAAAGGAAAGTACACAGCTTTTAAAGAGATTTTGCTGCCTGAAGCCAAGCAGTCAATGGCACCTCTGTGCCACCACAAGACAGTTTATTGCCTGAGGTGGAACTGCAAATGGTGCCCTCTACTTCAAATTAAACTGCTTCTTTTGGCACATGAGGAAGAGAATCCCACAAGCAACTGTCCCTATCCCTGACAGTAAAAACACACTAATAATAGAATGAATAAGCAATAATTTGCACCCCTACTATGATATACACAATCTGCTTCCTGATGTGGCTGCATTACTCACCTTCCTGGTAGGTTGAGCCCTGGGCACTCCACTTGCACCATGAAGGTGCATAGTACTTAGTCAAGCTATTTATGTTCAGGGGAAAAAAATCACAACTGCTCCTCCATCCAGTAAAAGTACACCATATAGCTAAATTACTCACAATGTCTCATCTTTCCCTGACTTTCCAAATTGGCTGCCTCGTACAGCTATCCCATTCTGCTTAATTGTAGGTCAAGTCTTTATTCTTTCTTTTCTTCTTGTTGTGTGCCTTTAAGTCACTTCTGACTTCTGGTGACTCTAATGCAAACCTATCAGTTTTTTTTCTTGGGGCTGAGAGTGTGTGACTTGCCCAAAGGTCATCTAGTGGATTTCCATGACCAAGCAAGGAATCAAACCCTGATCTCAGGAGTTATAGTCCAGCGCTCAGACCACTACACCACACTGTCTTTGTGGGATCTATAATTCTAGCATCTTTATGCTAATAATAATGATTATCACCTTTCAGTGTAACCGACTTGCAGACAGAATCCATCCTTGACCTTGTTCCTTAATGAAAGGAGACAAGCCTCTCATGTGTTCCTCCAGAGAGTTTTTCTGATCGGCCCTCTATCCTGTGGTACAGTTCACTGACTATGGTTTTGGTTTTTTAATCTTATGGCAACTTTAGTGGGAGGACTGTTTTGCTCTTGGTCTGTTTGCTAAAATTAAATATTTATTGAATTTGTAAGAATGAACAAGCTGTACATCACAATAACATATTTATCTGACATGACGACTTCTAAATCTTCCCCACAACTTCAGGGAGAATTTTGTTTATTAATGCAGAGCCAATATGGAAATGGATTGTGCCCTGGGAAATGTTTTTATTGAAGTGCAGAAGATAAGGGGGAGGTTGCTCTAAATTTAGTATTAATTCTTATTAAAGTGAGCTTCTGATACAGCTAAGGTAAAACTTGTAGAACACATGGCTGGCATATTTTAAATGTTGGACTTAACATTCTTATAGAAGCTGCAAGAAAAATCATGGCTGAGATAGCAGGGGGAATCCTGGCAAATGTGGACCAGAAAACTAATTTTGGCAAACTCTTGAAGCAAAATTATTCAACCTTGTTACATCTTCCTCAGAAGTTGAGGAACTTGGAGGGCAGTGCCCCTTCCCAAAAATCTTTGGAAAAATCATCCCCAGATGCTCCCCTACATGTGGGAAGAAATTAACCACCTTTTGAGCACTTTATGGACACTTTTGGACTAAGAGAGGGGTTCCAACTCAGAATGACCCAGAAGTTGTGTTTGCAGAACATTTTTTTTAAAAAATAGGATATCTGTCTCATATGCTTTTCCCTTCCTGTTCTAGAGGATTTTTCCAGCTCTCTGGAATATTATGGTGGATAGAGGCTGCAAGGGGAAGAGGAAATAAGAGAAAATGATTGCCCCACTGCACTGGAACTCTGCTGAGTATCTGAATCTAGGGGTGTAGTGACATGATGGCAAATGAGGACATTGCCAACCAAATGATAATTCTGCTCCTCAATGTTTTTTCAGTCAAACCTCTATGACTGAAGACCTAACCCTTCTGTCCCCATCTGTTTTCTGCCTACCCAATAAAAAGTGACTCTAGTGTACCTCTGTCTGAATCCCATCCTAAGAATGCAATGAATTTAGCAGTGTGTTATCTAGCTATGTTGGAGCACAGCTGTGGCTGTGGAGACCAGGATTTTAATCCCAGCTTGGCCATGTAAACTGGGTGACTGTGGGCAAGTCATACTCTCAGCCTCAGAGAATGGCAATGGCAGCCCTCCTCTGAAGAAACATGCCAAGAAAACCCTGTGATTGGTTTACCTTAGGGCAGGGATAGGCAACCTAAGGCCCGGTGGCCAGATGCGGCCCCCCGAGGCCTTTGGACCGGCCCTAGGCCACCCCCCCACTGCCACCCACCATGATGATATTGATTATTGTTGTTATTACTTGTTCTTGGGGTTTTCTTGGCAAAATCTCCACAGGAGGTTTGCCGTGGCTTTTCTGGGGCTGAGAGAGTGTGCATGCATATTTTTTAAAATTTATTTTTATTTTATTTTATTATTTTATTATTTTTTATTTTTCTTTCTTTCTTTCTTTCTTTATTTATTTTTGGTGCTTCGGCCCCCCAATTGTCTGAATGACAGCAATCCGGCCCCCGGCTCAAAAAGGTTGCCTACCCCTGCCTTAGGGTCATCATAAGCATGAAATGACTTGAAGGCACACAACAACATATCCAGCTACAGGATATGCCTCATGGGTTGCACTCCATGATAATTCCATTGGCTAACCAATGGAAGTGTGGCAGTTTTGCAGGTATGTTTTATTTCAAAAAAAGCATTTCTCTTTATGCAGTCTCCTCACAACCTATCTTTAATATCTTAAATTTAAATCCTCTTGAACAAGGGTGCAAAGAGTAGTTACATGGTACAGTATGTCTAAGTGAATGACAGGTCAGAAAAAAAAGAGCATTGAATGTGAATAGCTAAGGAAAACATCTACTCTGCAATTTGAGGTGGGTGAAGTGTTTGTGTTTGCCATTTGACTGTTCTGCAACAGCTCAATCATTAATTTCATTTTTTTAAAAAAAACTGAAGAGCTTTTGTTTACTTTTTCCAAGTGTGGTATTGGTGTGGCTTCATTGTGCATGTAGAAATACAACTTTATTGATGTAAAAGGGACAGCTTGTATGTGCAGCAGCTCACTGGCTATATGGGAATTGTGTCCCCATAGATTGAATCATGTCCTTTATCATGTTCTGGACTGAGAAATCGATGTAGAATGCTGTATGTGACTACTTCTCGCTACATCCATTGATTTTAGTGGGGCTGTTCTTGAATGAGAAGCATTAGAATCCTTTAGAAAGATGTCATATTCCTTCTATGCATTTTGGAAACTAATTCTGAGGAAATCTACTCTTTAAGATGGTAGTGCTGGTTGAGGGATACTCTTTGGACTTGATGGTGAGGGATACTCTTTGGACTTGATGGCATGAGGCTGCCAGATCAGAATTACAGCAGGATAGTAGTGTTTGTGGCTGTACCTTATCACATGACACTGTGTCTGCAGCTGCTTCATCTTCCATCCATTCCTGGAGTGCTCCTTTTCATTGATG